ACCAAAGTGAAAAATCTGGATATACCTTTCTATCCTACATTGCTTTGATGACTTTCCTCCCCAGCTCTGCTTTCCTCAAGCTCCATTCCATTTAGACATTTAGACCATTTAGACACATATTCTTTCCCACACAATGCTCCAGGAGCACATCACCCTCATTCTCATCTGGCTCCTGGTTCTCTATCTTCCAGTGAAATAACTTTTAAGATCCTTGTCCTTGTCCTCAATTACCTGTGAAGTCCTGTAGCTCAGTGGTTAGACCACTCGCTTTGCAAGCGAGACATCTGAGTTCAATTCCAGGCACAGGGCGAAACCTTGGACAAGTTTCCTTACTCTACACACCTAATAATAATTATCCCTTCAAAACAAAACAATAATAGATTGGTCATTTTCAATCCACGACTGTTTGTACGACACTGCTGTGCGCAATTGGCTGCTGTGTTTTGCCCACAAATATACGGTAATTCACTTTACAGTCTATTCTGTGAAGTGCTTTGAAACGTCTGGAAGACATGGAAAGCGCTATATCAAATGCAAGGATTATTATTATTATTATTAATGGCTTAACCCACTCTTCTTTGCTGCCTCACTTTCTGCTTTCAAACCCCATCTAAAAACCTCTCTCTTTGTCAGCATTTGTAGGCACCCCACCCCCCAATGCACATACCTACACCTCTTCCCAATCTCCCACCCAGGCTTTGCTTCCATTACTTCTTGTTAAAGTGCTTTGAGACATTTCCTTTGTGGGGCAGTTTTTTTGGTGAGCATTTCAAGAAGCACACCCAAAGGACTGTCACCCCAATGAAAGCAAGAAAAAAAGATAATCCAGACAAATAGCATACGGAGGAGGCTTTCCCTAAGTATATCTGTTTAGTGTGAGTTTTTCACTCACAACTAATACAGTAAAGCTACAGTAAAAATCTTTTGAAATGCTTCACAGTAAATCATCTCAAGTTCCTGACATGAAAGGCACTATATCAAATGCAAGTATTATTATTGATTATTATTCTCATTCAGAGTAACATCAGTTGTTGGATCATCTTGGCTGATTCACATAGGGGATGGCTATGGCTGCTCATCTCAGACTGTAGTTGCTGATGCCAATCACATGTCAGATCGACAGAGAGTATGTAACAATCAAATCAATACTAAACAAATTTACATTTTTACAGTGCCTTTCATGTTGGGAGGACCTGCCAGGGCGCCTGACAGTCCAGGGTTAGCATTCGAGCTGGATGTGGGCTGAGGGAGTGGGGGTGAGGGGTGAAACAATGCCGAGAGTGCGGTCAAGATGATATCAAAGTGAAAATCAGGAATAAGATTATAATGTTCACACATCCAGGTAGTGGGAGATACACCAGTGAATGGAAGAATAATGGGAGATTATGTATTGAGGGATAATTGTCATCACGCTGCAGACAGAATGATGTCCTGCGAGTGAGAACAACACGCTTCAGAATAGTCTCAGCTGTATTGTCATTGGGAAGGGCCTTGTACTCATGGTCCTGGCCAATGATAAGACTACTGAGACTATTCTCAGCTGTGAAGTGCTTTGAAGCCTCTCAAAGACGTGACAAGGCACTATATCAAATGGAATGCTTATTACTTCTGATAATAAAAATAGAATCCTCAATATGTATTCCGGGTTATAAAACATATTAAGCTTGAGCTGCATTTATGTTAACTATTTGATGCTGCATTAAAAACACCATTAAAAAACTACATTCTGACCCATACTGTTTTAATTGACCAATGATTTTTTTAATCTTGGAATAAGGCACGCACATTAAATAATTGTATGTCCAACTCTACCCCCACTTTAGCTTCTAAGCCTTCAAGTCTTCAGTTTGTTTCACCTCAATTCCTCCCTCCACTCCTTGGTCTTGTCCTGTTCTAAAACCTAGTCAACTGCACCGACATCCACCTTCCCTCTTGCTGCGTTCCCAACACCATCTCCTTGAAACACTCAGAGACATTATCCTACAGGAAGGTCGATGTACAAATGCAAGTTGTTATAAATAAAGTGTCCTGAGTTCATGGAAATCTTACACAGAAAGGTGAATGTTTTACCCTGCATTCATTAGGTTTTGATAGCACTGTCTGTTTTTTTTATGTCACCACAGCCTGGAACCCAATGGTTTTCCCTTATATCTGATTTGTAAACACCTGGTGGCCTTGCTGAGCCCACAATTTCAATTTTGCAATATCGCCCCCAGGTGGTAAATAAAAATTCTGCATCAATATTCTCAACCTTTGACTGACATTCTCATTTGGCTCATCAGCAGGATCTGGAAGGGCTGACCAGTCACTGGGGCGTCTCATCCAACTCCCGTTAACCCTTCAAGCCAAAGCCCTAATGGATAGGGTGGTCAAAGCTGGAAAAAAAACAGATGGGAAAGCTTGTCGGGCTGCAATATCAATGGCAAACTATGTGGTTTTAGGTGGTTAGAATCCAGTAGTACCCCAACACGAACTCTGGGGTCCCCAAGCCTTGCTTTTGCCAACCTGGTCCTAATACTTTCTGGAATTAGGTTAGCTGGATGAATCCCTCCAGGGAGACAGCACACATTCCATTCCAATAATCCATCTCTGTGATTTCCATGTGTAGGTGGGCTGCATGGAAATATCAGCTTGGTTTGGATACTCTTAAGCATGGTGATGGGTTTCTGCATGTGTTAGACACCACTGTAGCTAAATTTATAATACTGTAGCTAAAATCACCTAAAATTAAGTGTCATAAATGTTATATAAACAAATGTAGAGCATATATTCTGAACCTCTATAACACATTTGAACAAGTTCAGCCCCGAGGACCAGGAGACCTTCCTGCAAGCAGGAGTCATGAGTTAGTCATTTAACATATGACAAGCTCTGACTTCAGCCATCATAAGGTGGATAACAGCTACTTGCGAGCTGGAGAAAAGGTTGTGGGTCAGTCAGCTTACACATAGCGTGGACTGACGTTCTGTTGCAGTACTGTGAAACGGTGTATTTGTCAGATGTGACATTAATCAAGCTCCCGTCTGACTGTTCAGGTGGATGGATCCCATGTCACTATTCGAAAAGAGAAGGGAGTTTCTCCGAGTGTCATAACTAACAATCCACCAAATAAAATTGATCATTCACTTCATAGAAGTTTGTTGAGACATTGCTGTGCGCTAATTATCTGCCGTATTCACCTACAAAATACAGTCACCATACTTTACAGAAAACCCTGTGAAGCTCTTTGAGTCGTGTGCTCCTGATATGAGAAATTATTATTACTATGTTATCATAGTTTACATTACTCAGGAAAGGTAGTTTCTTTAGTGTTTTTTTAGTGATGGGTCAGCCAGACCAATAACATGGCAATGTTACATATAATGGATGTTACTTTTCTTAGTATGAACTTCCGAAAATAGCCACTTTATTGTAGGTGGCGGATATTTTGTTCACAAGGTATCTTGTCAATCCATTTCTGATAATTTCTGATATTCACAGACCGAGTTGCATGGATGATAATATACCATGCATGTTTTACACTGCCACATTTGTCTGCCTTTAATTTGTAGATTTGTTGATCTCCAGTTACTTATTTTGTTGGAATAAAGGTAATGGCCAGGGCGGGAGATCGAAAAGGTAGGTGGGGAGGGGAAGGCCATAGAGGAGTTTCTCACTGGGGTAAGAGGGAATTTTGCTGTGAGGAATCTGCTGCTCTCAATGGGCTTCAGCTCGGGTTTGCTCAGAGCAGGTGCCGCAGGTGAGCGATCACATGCCTCATCCTGAGCTGAAAGGGGAAGGGCCCCAAATCCTGTCCTGGTTCTCAATATTTAGCAGGTGGATGATCTCATGAGATCAGGGAAGACGGCAAATCCCATTTGAAATGACTCGTAGCTCACTATCTGGCAAGCAGCCAATCACGGCGATGGGGAATGTGGGCGCACTCTATGGCAGTGGGAATGGCCGCCGGATTATTATTATCTAACAGAATATACCAAAGCTGTAGGTTATTACCAGTATTGAAATTGCAATAATAGCAAATATTTTATTTCTGTCATTTAACTGTTTTACATAATTTTTGATTTAATCTTAATTTTTAATTGTTAGTATTATTACTACTGTTATTATTGCCACTTCCATCCCCATCTTCAGGTCACGCCTGAAGACCTTACTTTTAGACCGTGCCTTCGGTCACCTCCTCCTTTCCCTCGGCGCAGTGTCAAGCGCTCCGGGACGCTGCCCTGTGTGAGGGCCGCAATATAAACGCAAGTTGTTATTATTATTGTTGTTATTATTGTTGTTCCCTCATGAAAAAAAGCAATAAATTGGTCACTTCAAACCACGACAACAACAACAACAAGATTCCATTTATTGAGCGCCTTTCACGTCGGGAGGACGTCCCAAGACGACTGTTTGTGGACAAACTGCTGCCACGTTTCACACACAAATATGCAGTCAATTCACTTTACAGTCTATTCTGCGAAGCGCTTTCAGACATCTTGAAGCGTGAAAAGCGCTATATCAAATGCAAAGATTATTATTGTTCTTATTGTTAGCAATGAGTATTATTATTAATGGTTATTGTTGTTAGTGTGATGGTGTTTTTGTTAGTGTTGGTGATGGTTAGTGATGGCGTTATTGTTAGTGTTGGTGATGGTTAGTGTTATGTTAGTAATTACATAAACAGAACCAGCCACGGCAAGAGTCATCTCGCGCATGCGCCACCTGTCGTGCTGTTGTGGGCGGGGCCACGTGTCACAATGACCGCTTCCGGGTCACTCGCTCTCTCGCGCGGGGTGGGGGTGGGGGCAGGACTCAGGCGCAGGCGCGCTGGGAGATCATGTCGGCCGGCGGTTGGGCCGTTCGCTGCCGCGCGGCCTCATGAGAGACGCCCGTTGCGGGGGGGAGCGCGAGAGGGAACGGGCCGCGTAGCCGGCGGCCGAGGCTGTTTGTGGAGGTCAGGGAGGGAGGGAGGGAGGGAGGGAGGCCGCTGTGTGTGTGTGTGTGTGTGTGTGTGTGTCTCTCACTCACTCACTCCCCCCCCTGCCCTCTCCTCTCCTCACCTCGCGCCCGTCACCATGGCGATCAGCCAGTTCCGAGTGTTCAAGCTGTGCTCCTGCCTGGCCTGGCTGCTCTCCTTCATCAAGAGACTCGTCTGCAGGCAAGTGGTCGCGGCGAGCCCCCCCCCCTCCCCGCCGCCCCATTACCGTTATTGACGCGCCGTGTAAAACCGCGAGCCTTGCAACGATCTTACCGTTTTTTTTAAAAAAAAATTTTTCCCCCCTCTCTCATGTTCGGACGCTCTGAGACGCTACCCCGGTGCGGAGGGCGCTATTTATAAGTGCAAGTTGTTGTCGTCGTCCCCCACCCCCTCACCCCACCTCCATTATTTGTTTTAACCGCGAGTAAGTGAATGGGTCTTCCTTCCTCCCTCCTGCTCCTGAAATGTCTCCCGGCTCTCCCCAAGACAGCTGCTGTCGAAAGCGAGCCTTGCGCGCTGCCGCCGCCACCTCTCTCGCCAAAGCAATGTCACGGTGCCCTTTTTTTATTTCAAACGGTCGCGACCGCGACCGCGTGCCGAGCGAGCGTTCAGCCGGCCCCGCCACCTCGCTTACCTCTCAAGGGGGGGTGGGGGGGGGGGGGAAAAACATTTAAAGTTTTTTTTTGGTCTCCGGGTTGAGTGTTTGGTACCCAGGCGGAAGAATATAGTGACATCTCAGACATCTTTTTTCTATTTGTGGGCTATACTGAGATGCAAGATCGATTTCAGTGGTTTCCTTAATTTGAGATTGCCCTCTCTTGGCTCCGGCACTGGCAAATATTTGGCAGATAATTTTGACTGAACGCCTCCCGTTGTTGGATTTTCCAAGATCCAGAACAGATGCACTAGGTTTAAATCTACCTGACGGAAAATGTTTCCTCAGCTACAGAAATCAGTATGATTCGACACGAATTGGCAATCTTGCTCAGAGAGATACTGTTAAGGGTGATCAGTGCTGCAAATGAAAAAAAAATCACATTTTCCAAGTGATGTGGACTGATCTTGTTTTATTTTGTTAGCTGAGTCTCTGACACGTGTAGAAATCTGTTGTTATGCATATCCAAACAAAACCGAGAGTTCCATACCTATACATGGAAATTGCTGCGTATCTGGAATGGATGGCCATTCTCTCCCGGTAGGAATTCATCCTGAGCGCTGCCTGGCAAGCTTCCCGCTGCTTGTCCAGCTCGGACCAACCTAATCATTCAGGCCTCAGGGTTACCAGGAGTCAAGTGAGAAGAATCCCTTTTAAGGCACATTGTTGAGCAGGGTAGAGGTAGCCGTTTGCACTTTAGATTAGTTGATGACAACTTATGGTGCCTAAAATAAATCTGCCTCAATAGTCATAATTTGTCTCAATGAACAAATTAATTTTAAGGTGATTATTCAGGAAAATTAAGTTGAGAATGGAAACAAAAAATTCACACTTCATATCGCTTTAAGAGCATTTAAGAGATGGATGCATCAACAAAGAAGAAAGATACCAAACGATAATAGATGAATAAGGCAATCGAAAAAAGTGAAAGTCTGATCATAAATATTTTAAAAATGTAAGGAAATTAAATTTAATTGAAGTAAGTTTTAGAAAAGTTAAAGCAGAATGTGTTTCGCCTGCACCAGATCCAGACAGACCTCGTAATTTAGAGGACTAGGTGTTTGCCTGGCTCAGTTGATCACACTTTCACTCGGTGAGTCAGAAAGTTATGGGTTTAAAACCCACATTGCAACTTTGAGTTCATAGTTTAGGCTGGCAATACAGTGCTATGAACACTACATAGTTAGACTTTGAACGAGACCTTAAGCTGAGGTCCTGTGATGAGGTGGATGTTAAATACCACATGACATTATTAATTAAGAGAAGGGATTTTCTCCTGGTGCCCTCTTCTCAACTCCAGGACCACTGCTGTCCTGACAGACTGCCTGTCGGACATCAAGTCCTGGATGAGGGCAAATTTCCTACAGTTGAATGTGAACAAGACTGAGGCCCTCCTGATTGGCTCGCGCGAGCGCCTCAGCACCTCAGGCTTTGGCAGCATAAACCTCCATGGTTGCTCACTACAACTCACCAGCCAGTCAGGAACCTAGGTGTCTTGTTCGACCCTCAACTGTCTTCTCCCCCACATTCAAGCCATGACCCACTTTGCCTTCCTTCACCTCCGTAACTTCGCTTGACTCCGCCATTACCTCACCCCTCAGGTGCTGAAACTGTTGTTCATGCCTTCATCGCCTCCAGGCTCGACTATGCAAATGCCCTGCTTGTCGGCCTTCCCAACTCCTTCCTCCACAGTCTGCAGATAATCCAGAACTCTGCAGCCCGTGTTTTCTCCCGCACCAAACTCCGTGACCCCATCTCCCCCACTCTGCCCGACTCCATTGGCTCCCTATCCTTCAGAGGATCCAGTTCAAGATCCTGGTCCTCATATACAAAGCCCTCAATGGTCTCGCCCTACCCTACCTCTGCGACCTCCTAACCCCCTACCAACCCGCCCGTTCCCTCCACTCAGCCGGCTCTGACCTGCTCCACGTCCCCCGACCCACCCACCCCACCATTGGCGGGAGAGCCTTCAGCCACTTTGCCCCCAACCTCTGGAATTCCATCCCCCAGTCACTCCACGTCGCGCCCTCCTTAGCCTCCTTCAAGTCCGATCTCAAGACCCTCCTCTTTGACCATGCCATCGGTCACCCCCCTTCCACTCCTCTCCCTTACACCCCCAATCCCAGCTTGAGTCTGAAATGCTGTACTCTGTCCAGCGCTTTGGGACGTCCTCCCGACGTGAAAGGAGCCATACAAATGTAATCTTGTTGTTTTAACATGATAGGCACTATATTAAATACAAGGATTGTAGGATTATTATTACCTATAGGTTCCTTTCATAAGTTGGGCAGCTGTCATCTTGATTCAGTCAGTAGGATACTTGCCTCAAATATTGTGGGTTCAAGGTTTACATTGGGACTCGCGCTGGTTGTCTGGCCTACACTGATGGGTGAATGCCACATTGTTCCTCAGATGAAATTTTAAATCCAAATCCAGTCTACCCTTTTCCTCCGGTGGATGCCAAAGATCCCATGATCCTGTTCAGAAAGACTTATTTCCAGTGACATCCTGGTTAATTCAGAAGAGTCATCCAGATTGATTCAGTTCAATCCTCCAGATTAACTAGGCATTTCTCTCATGGCTGTTATGATTATTGAGGCAGATTTTACTTTAGGCTGTTGTGTGAGGATGGCAACTGGGTTTGCCTACAAATATAGCCATTTTGAGAAATTGTAATGAGGTCCTATAAAGATGAAAATTCTTTATATTAAAATTGAGGCATTTCTTAACAAGAATCCTTTCTAAGAAATTCAAATGCTTCTCATACCTGTAAGTTTATTGCAATGATCTATTAGTTTCTGAAGGAGTAGGAAATGACTTCTGTCATGAGCATGCCATTATTTCATTTTGAAAATAAACCAGGTAAAATTGGCCATTCCCTTCATGGCTGTTTGTGGGATTTTGCACAAATTGGCTGTTGTGTTGATTACAAAATATACAGTCATTACACTTCAAATAAATTCAGTGGGACACGATGAGATATGGAAGGTGATAGCTATATCAAGTGTAGGGATTATTAACTCCAGTTTCACCCAATAACATGTTGATCCAATCAACTTCTGAAGTGGCATGTCGGACTTCTAACTGAAATCATGTTGTACTAGATGGCTAAATGAATTGCAGACGAAGTCGTATCAATTCAGAAATCTAACGTGTTTGAGAGATCAGTACAAAGATTGAATAAATTTAAGAACAGAACATTCCCAAGATATCTAGATCAGATTGGATAGCTGATAGCATCCTAGAATAAATGAGACAGGAACAATAGCTCTTATTTTTTGGAGCTCCAGCAATATTGAAGGTGGTTATCCAACTGGGAGGTATTACTTTAGCATTATTAAAGTAAAAGCAAGTTACAATTGTTTATCACGCTTTGTGAATATACTGGCTATACAATATGCAGTTTAACTGCAATTAAGCATCTTGGAGCGCTTCATAAACAGGAGCAAAAATTACATTTGTATAGCACCTTTCATGTTGAGAGGATGTCTCAAGGCGCTGGAAATCAGTGTTTTGAAGCTGAGCTGGGCATCGGGATCGGGAAGGGTGGAGGGCAGAGGAGGAAGGAGGGTGACCGAAGGCACGGTCGAAGAGAATCCTGAGGTGGGTCTTGAAGGAGGCAAGGGAGGGGGCGAGGCGGAGGGACTGCGGGATGGAGTTCCAGAGGGTGGGGGCAGAGTAACTGAAGGCTCGGCCACCGATGGTGGGGTAGGCAAGTCAGGGGGCGTGAAACTGGCTGGAGCCCGCTGAGCGGAGTGAGAGGGCAGATTGGTAGGGGGTCAGGAGGTCGTAGATGTAGGGAGAGCAACACAGATTGGGTCAACGCATTAATAGTCATTGCTTGCAACAAATCAATGGAGGCATGAACACATAGAATAAAACTTGCCCATGAGAGATTACGAGCAAGTATTTTACTGCAAGTATAGGATGTTTTGTGTCAGTTTAAATACAGAAGCTCATAGTTGTACTTGTTTCCTGGATGGGAACAATAATAATACGTGTCACTCGTTTGAAGATCTTGAATAACTTGTTCTGATTTATCTCTGGCCATGCCTTCATTCATCTCCCTTCTACCACTCATGTTCCACCTTGTTGGAATGGGCACTCTCTCCCTGGAGGAACTCCCTGCTTACCTAATTCCAGAGGTATTAATTGCAGGTTGGTGAGAGCCAAAATCTGGGGCCCCAGAGTTTGCTTAGCTTGCCATTGAGAGCCCGATCTGGCAAGCTATCTGCTACTTGTCCAGCTAGGATCACCCACCCATTGGAGCAGTGTTAACAGGAGCAGATTGAGAAAAATCCCCGCTCCTCAATATGTTTTTTGCTGTATTTTTGATTTTATAGCATAAAATTATAATGTGTGCCCATTTGTAATTTTGAATCTATGCCACCTTGCTTAATCCCTGGGTTATCTGTACTCATAATACAACCAGGTAGTTACAAAATACAAAGAAACTGTAATTGTGTGATGGGATGAAATGAATTTTGGGGTTGCGTAACTCCCTACCTTGATCCTCCACTATTCATTGTTTACTGTAGATGCTATACTAGGGACTACAAAACATTATTCACCACATTGATAGGTGTAAATGGGTAAATATATATTCCTTTATAGATAGAAACCCTAGAATTCCATGTCTGCACATTTTTCAATTGCCTCTATTGAGCCACTGCCTTTGCATGACATGTGTCCTATAGTATTGATGGGAATTGAATTTGTGGTACCTGGTGAATGTGTGCTCAATTAATGACAATTGGTAACTGCTAAAATATTTCTCTTTTGATTCATTATTGGTGTGCAAACAGTAAATATCAGTCCACTTATTTGGACTTGGGCATAGGCGTATAGGAAATTGGTGTGCAAGAGTGGTGTTGGAAGAGCTTTCAGCAATGTAGGATATTAATGTGGATGAAATTGGAAGGTGAGTTTATTTAGCAATGGAGAAAATGTGAATATTCCATTTGAAATCAAGTAAGGCCAGGGTTAGTGTCAATATAGAAAGAAGGATTGAGTGGAGGTGCCAGGGGAGAGCTAAATGATGGAAAATATTTTGTTTTGAAGTTAATAGATTTGATAGTTGACATTTTGTGACCACTGTATAATGAACATGGATTTTTCTGTGGTAATAAACAAAATGTGTGATCCGTTGAGTGCAACATTGAGGAAGGATATTGTTCATTTGGTGGTACATTTACCGACTTTGGTATTGTCTTCTAACAGGAAAGTGCACACAAACCAAGTCATTAAATTTGCTTTCAGTATAACTCCGTAATGTTTTCCTGACTAAACAGCGATTTTTTTTATATCAATAAATAATAAAATCCTATTCAATTTGTCTTTGGAAGAACTCTAGAATTCATTTAATCTTGATAAAGGTTAGATGTGTGTTTTATTCCACACTTCTGATAATCCTCTTCCAGGCGTTTGAGATCATTTACCAGCTAGCAGATATGGATTAAATATTATCTGAAGTGTGTGTGTGGGGGGGGGGGATTTCCCATAACAATAATGACATTAGTATGTAGAAATTTTAGTGTTTGAAGACATTCTCGTTAGTGAATCTCCTTCCTCAGCCGCCATGAGAAACAGATCATTCAGATCATTGACATTGCTCTTCCTGTTGGTTATGTCAAATCCTTGAATCTCATTTTCCTGACTTTTCTCAATGCCCTTAATGCCCTTACAGTATTCCAGTCTACTTTGCCCTGTATGTGGTTGTGGAGTAGGCGGTACATATCACATATGCACAATCCTTGGTGTGAAGAAATGGTTCCTGTTCTCACTTCTGATCGGTTTAGCACTCATTTTGAGATTACATATGTCCCCTTTACTCTTCGTTCTCTAGCTTTAGAATTCCGTTAATTATTTTAAACACCTCTTTCAGTTAACCCCTTAATCTTCTCAATTCAATTCTAAGGAATATACATAACCCAAGTCTACCCATCTCTTACTGAGGTTATGCCCTTCATCTCAGATATTAATGTAATGAACTGTTGCTCACCTTCAGGAAAATTGGATGCAGAACACATCCAAGTTTCTCTTGTCACTGAAAGGAAGAGCTACTTAGCCAGAGACAGTACAACATGCATAATACACTACCAACCCGAGGCATGTGTTGTCAGGCTGAACACTTAAAGAAATTGAAAGCAGGTTAAACAAATTAATCAGGAAAAAGAAGGAACAAGTAACATTAAGCTTTCTAAAGTGCTTCACATATTTACTATCAATGTAGTGCCTTTTTTTGTTTGAAGGGAACACGCTAGCAATTGTATAGCACACGTAACATTAAGCTTTCTAAAGTGCTTCATATATTTACTATCAATGCCTTTTTTTGTTTGGAGGGAACACGCCAGCAATTGTATGCAACACCCACAAACAACCATTAGGTGATTTAATACTCTGCTCTTTTAGCACTGCACTAGAGTCTATGAGCTCAGGTCCCAATGTGAACCCAGAATTCTGTAACCCAGACCTGAGTGAACAACTTGTTACTGGACTAATTTATGCTCAAATAAAATTTTTCTTCTCCCCTCTTCCCTTTCTTCAGTGGTTTAATTGTTCCTGAAGGTTGAAGAAAAATCCTCTGGGAGAAGCATAGTGTATTTTTAAATAGGAGTTAATTTAAATGTCTTAACTATATAAATACTGAACATTTTGGTATATTAATCCTGTGTTGTTTTTCCTGAAGGTCTGGAAGAGGTAGGAAGTTGAGTGGAGATCAAATAACCTTGCCAACAACTGTCGATTATACGTCCGTTCCTAAACAGGTATTGAAAACACTATCCTGATCATAATACGAGCAATTATTTTCCATTTGAGGTTTATTTATTTCACAATCTCAGGATGTGAGCCAATGGATTCGATGTTGACTTACTGGGAAGATTTTTCTTAATTCAAAGTAAAAGAAACTGCAGTGCATTACTGAAGTTGCAGCCCAGAATGTCTCCATTCATTTCAGTGAAGATTGATATTTCAGACCCAGGAAGCACAATAATAATCCTTATAGAATATTAATCTTCATTTGATATAAAGCCTTTCATGTCAGGAAAATTCACAGTGTGATTCACATTATTCACTGTGTAGTGACTATTTTTGTAGACAAAATTAGCTGCAGCACTTAAACCCTCTTCCCCCTCACACTTTCCCCACCCCTGCCTGTATGGATGAAACTGAAGCATTAGTGATATATACAGTCATACAGCTTCAACGGATAACTAGCTTCTCCAGGATGACTGCAGGGAAAAGGAAAAGGAGACTCAAACAGCAGTTTTACATGGGCAGACGAGTGAAGTTGTTCAGTACAAGTAATATATCAACCATTTCCCAGCCCCTTGGGACGTCCTCCTGACATGGAAGGTGCTATACAAATGTAATCTTGTTTTTGTTGTATTTTCATCGTATGAATTGAAAAACTAATGTATTGGATGTGGAGGGATGCAAGTATATTTTTGTATTACCATTTCTCTCTTTGGTCTGTGTTGCTTTTATGCTGGATTGTTCTATTCAAAAAAAGGAATAGTGAGAAATAGTTTTCCAATTTTACTGCCATTATCGGTTACTGTAGATAGTACAGTATCACTATTTTGAACAGTTTTGGACAATTCATGATGTGTTTTCATTAGCTATTGGGTAAAGAGCACAGTATTGGCATAAGATTTTAACCAATGTACTTGGTGAGCCAAGATTTAGATTGATAGCTTTACTGGTATTCAGTAGTGTTAACACTGGTGGGTCATACATTGTACTGAAATTGTGCAAAATATGACTGTTTCAATTTGTGTGGTGAGGACAGTAAATGGAATAGAGGTGCTGCTTTCTCAGAAGACTTAAGACAGATATTTAATTTGTACAAAACATGCAGCATTTATAGTGGTATATTATGTGAATTAAAATGAAATCCAAACAAGACTTTTTGTTTTCTTCAAGGTTGAGGTAGAAGAATGGAGTTCCTGGGATGAGGATGGTCCAACCAGTATTAAGATTGAAGGAGGCAGTGGTAATCTGCAGAATGGTACTGGAGAATCTGACGAGCCTGACTACTTTAAAGACATGGCACCAACCATAAGAAAACCTCACAAGGTGTGTACTGTTGTTTAAAGTGGAATTTCTATTGTGCTTTTTACTTTAATTTATTTTTTAACTCTCCAAATACAATATAAACATTCAGTCAATGCCTAAAATGGGGCGAGAGTTCTGTTTTGATATTAGACTTTTATAGCCCAAAGCTAATAATTACATTTCAAAAAATGTATAGAGCAATTTGACAAAAATCAGGCAGCAAAATATATATGCTGAACTACTTGAATAAAAATGGCTTTTTTTTAATAAACTTGTTTGTAAATAATAATCCTTACATATGATGTAGGACCTCTGATTGAAATATTTTAAGGGCTTCACAGACAAATTACCAAGTTATCTGGAGGGTTGTTTGAGAGAAACTCCATTCTGATTTTCATATTGTATCATGGGGATCCTTAACGTTCATGGGGACACATAGGTGAGGCCTTGGGTTAAGGATTCCTGTAGCTCAGTGGTTAGAGCACTCGCTTTGTAAGCGAGAGACTGTTTGTGGGACACTGCTGTGCGCAATTGGCTGCCACATTTCGCCCACAAATATACAATCAATTCACTTTACAGTCTGTTCTGTGAAGTGCTTTGCGACGTCTAGAAGATGTGAGAAATGCAATAACAAATACAAGGATTATTATATTATTAAAATTTTAGCCAATGGTTGAGTGTCTCATCTAAAGGAGAAGTAGTTTTATAGTTGTTTAAATTATATGAAATTTGTTTTTCTTCGGATCAATATTATGCTTTTAATTCCTGTAATTTCATAGATTGAGGTTTTTCTTCTCCACTCTGAGGACTTGTTTAAAAAATAAATTTGCATTTCAGTGTTGATAGGATTTGGGTAAGTTTTCAATAGAACAGTGCAATGTTTAAGAATTTTAGGACTTAATTTGACTTCAGTCAGTTTGCTTTTAAAATGTTCCCATTTATAATTTAACCTTAAGTGTTGTGGTGTTTCTCAGATTATTATTAAGAAGAAAGAACCAATAAATTTTGGGATACAAGATGGCAGTTTGGGATACTCCAGCAGGCTAGCAGCTACGCAGGACATTGCCTTCAATCAGCCAACGGTAAGCAATTCCTTTACCTGTTTCATTTAGTTTTGTTTCCACTGATGCTAACAAAGACACCCTAAACAATAACTGGCAAGCAATAGGCCGTCCTTTGCATTTGCTCACAACTGAGCTTGTAATGCAGAATTAAGATCAGTAGCAATTTTGAGCAAGACAATGGACATAAGTCATTCTGAGATTTAGAACTAATTTTCCATCGCCATTGCTGCATGTTTCAATCTCTAAATTGCCAGAGTTTAAATATTGTTGGAAAGTTTATTCTGCCGACTTGATATTCCATGATAGAAAGATGTATGTTTTGTTGTATGTTTTATTACAGGGCTTGGTTTTACGATAATTGCTTTTGATGGTTTGCTTGCAGGTAGAACTGGGGGATCTGGATACTTGGCAGGAAAATACTAATGCATGGGAAGAAGAAGGAGATGCTACCTGGGAGGCGGAGGAAGTACTTAGGTATTTAATTTTTGTTCACGAAACAAGTTGTAAATTGCAGTCTCAGTCACTAATTTTATGTGGAGACTAATAACCATTTTTGCCTTGAGGTGCTAGAGTTATAAAATCTGGCACAAAACCTGAGCTGGTGATTTGACATGACCTTTGGAGAGGCAACTAGTATTGCAACAAATGATGTTTGCGCATTTGTGAACCACCTTTAACATTTTTTTGGTCCATCTCTTGCTACTCAATTAATGGTATAGGAGGTTGAGAGATGTACCTGATTTGGCTCGTGTCTTTTTAAAAAAAATTCTATTTGCCATTTATTTGGCTAGTGGAAATATCACAACATTGTAGTTGTGGTTTGTGTACTCACAAACATTTTGATGTGAATGCAGTGTTGATGTTTGAGGTGTGTTCACAACATGTATCAAATGTTGTTGGGTCAAATCACACTGGGTCTTAACTTTTCATTAGCATGCCAAAGCTCCTACCTACTGAAATAAAAGAAACATAGAATTTTACTGTGCTCATTGTAACTGGAGACAGGCTTGCCTTCAGAGACAGAATTCATAGTATTTTGCATAACTGCAAGGATTTGAGTAGATTTTTTGATTTTACAATGTAATTTAATCTTTATTGTTGTTTTTAATATTGCCTCAACCAAAATGCATAAACCACATTCATCTGTTCAGTTTCCACATCATCAGAAATTCCTTGCATCACAACAGCAACAACAAAATTACATTTGTATAGCGCCTTTCATGTCAGGAGAACGCCCCAAGGCGCTGGACGGACAGAGTTACGGACCTGAGCTGGGGATGGGGGAGGGTGGAGGGCAAGGGGGAAAAGCAGGGAGATCGAAAGCATGGTCAAAGACGAGGGTCCTTGAGATGGGTCTTGAAGGTGGCGAGGGAGGGGGTGAGGCAGAGGTTCTGCGGAATGGAATTCCAGAGTGTGGGGGCAGAGTGGCAGAAAGCTCGCCTGTCAATAGTGGGGCGAGCAAGGCAGGGGACGTGAAGCAGACTGGAGCCTGTTAAGCGGAGGAAGCGAACAGGATGATAGGGGCTTTGGAGTTTGCAGAGGTAGAGGGGAGCAAGACCATGGAGGGCTTTGAAAGTGAGGACCAGGATCTTGAAACAGGACCAGGATCCTCTGTGTGATGGGAAGCCAGTGGAGTTGAGCAAGGATGGGTGTGATTGGGTTACAGAGCCTGGTGCGGGAGAGGACATGGGCTGCAGAGTTCTGGATGATCTGTAGTCTGTGGAGGGAGGAGTTGGGGAGGCCGACAAACAGTGAGTTTGCATAGTCGAGCCTCGATATAATGAAAGCATGTATGAGGGTTTCGGCAGCCTGCTGTGTGAGACAGTGGCCGATCCGGGCGATGTTGCGGAGGTGGGGAAGGCAGAGCGGGTCATGGCACAGATGTGGGGTAGAAAGGATAGTTGAGGGTCAAACAAGACGCCAAGGTTCCGGACTGGCTCAGTGAGGTGGAGTGTGCATCCATGGATGGTGATGCTATCAGTGCCTGAGGTAAGAAGGCGCTGACAGGAGCCAATCAGGAGAGCCTCGGTTTTGTTGACGTTCAACTGAAGAAAGTTATCTCTCATCCAGGACTTGGTGTCTGACAGATATTCGGTCAGGACAGCAGTGGTCCTGGAGTCAAGGGGTGGGGGCAGAGAGGTAGAGTTGGGTGTCATCCGCATACATGTGGAAGTTGACTCCATGTCTTCGGATGATGTCACCAAGAGGGAGCATATAGATAATGAAGAGGAGGGAACCAAGGATAGAGCCCTGAGGAACGCCACACAAGACGGTCCGGGGGCTGGAGGAGAAGCCGTTTATGGAGATGAAGTGCAGGCGGTGTGAGAGGACAAAGGACAATTGTTCAAGGATGCTGAGCATTTTGAAAAACGGGAACCCTATTTTAGGTGTGGTGACTTGCCATGTAATTTTTCTGTGAGATCTTTTATCTGAGCATTATCTATTGTACTCTCATGTAAAGGAAAGCATTTTTTAATAACTGCCCTCTTAAGAATCAAAGATTGCTTTGTCATAAGTCATGTCTTCATTGTATTCAGATTTTTTTAAACTTCTGATGTCTGATTAAATAAGGGTGCTTTATAAATGCAGGTTTTTCATATTGGTTCATTTGACTTGGGCCCAGCAGATACTTTTGGGACTTTGATTTTATTTTGATGTTCTTTGGGATTCAGCTGATCTTATGTTAATTTAAGAGTGCCAAAGAGCCTATCCAGTTATTAATCTTTGGATTCAGCAAACTGAGTATTGCTGCAATTAAATAAAGCTGTGTTCAAAATCTACTTCAACACACTACAACCATCAACAGTATAATTTAGTAGGCAAAAAATTATCATACGATTCACATTATTTAGATCAATAACCTGACGTTACCAACTCTTACAGCACTGGATGAGTTTACTTAATGGAGATGGAGGAAGGGAGGGTACTGTGCAAAGTTTGTAAAAATGTTTGTTGTGTTTGTTCATTTACTTCATATCCACTTTCTGTTTTATCCTACTTTTTGTATGAAAAATTGACTTGATTTCAACAATGATATATCCCTGCTCCTCTTCAGTCTTTGTATACCTGCAGCCCTACAAATAGATAAAATAGAAAGCCCAGTGGGCCAGCTTTCAGTCATTCTACCCTTACTTGCTGGAACTACATCCCTCTGTCTTGTCTATTTCCTCCCCACCTTCAAGACCGCCTTAAGATCTGGGCTTTCGACTACTCTTTCGGTCACCTTCTTGTTGCTGTGTTCACTTACAAATGCAGTCACTATACTTTGCAATGAACTAAACACTCAGACACTATGTGAAGAACGTGATATAAATGCAAATTGTTGTTGAACAAGAGCATGGTGGGCTTTGAAGGTGAGAACCAGGATCTTGAATTGTATCCTCTGTGTGATGAGAAGCCAGTGGAGTCGGGCGAGGATGGGGTTGATAGGGTCACAGAGCCTGGTGCTGGAGAGGACACAGGCTGCAAAGTTCTGGATGATCTCCAGCCTATGGAGGGAGGAGTTGGGGAGGCCGACAATCAAGGAGTTTGCATAGTCAAGTCTCGATGTAATAAAAGCGTGTATGAGGATTTTGGTGGCCTGTGGTGTGACATAGTGGCGGAGCCGGGCGATGTTGCAAGAGGTGGGGAAAGGCAGAGCAGGTCATGGCACAGATGTCGGGTAGAAAGGATAGTTGAGGGTCAAACAAGACGCCAAGGTTCTGGACTGGCTCAGTGAGGTGGAGTGTGCAACCATGGATGGTGATGCTATCAGTGCCTGAGGTGAGGAGGCGCTGACAGGAGCCAATCAGGAGAGCCTCGGTCTTGTTGACGTTCAACTGAAGAAAGTTATCTCTCATCCAGGACTTGATATCTGACAGACATTCTGTCAGGACAGCAGTGGTCCTGGAGTCAAGAGTGGAGGCAGAGAGGTACAGTTGAATGTCATCCGCATACATGTGGAAGTTGACCTCATGTCTGCAGATGATGTCACCAAGAGGGAGTATATAGATATTGAAGAGGAGGAGACCAAGGACAGAGTCCTGAGGAACATCGCACGAAACGGTGCAGGGGCTAGAAGAGAAACTTTGTGGAGATGCAGTGGAGGCGGTGTGAGAGGTACGATCTGATCCAGTCAAGGACAGAGCCGTGACAGAGCAAATGAAAGCATTTATTCTAAGTATTTATTTAATTAACCTTGCTGCTTATTCCCTTTATTTGAGTTGAAGCTCCATAGTCTGTACACCGGTGCAAGAAATGAGGAAGGCTGGAAAATAAACGCTAATTGTGTCTATATATGGTGGAAATGGTTTATTACCATGGTTGGTGAAAATACCAGTAAATAGAGTTTTGTGTTGAAACTGTGAACCAGGGCAGTGGTGAGATAACCGTTGCAAATTCAACACTGGAGGTGAAGCCTGTGAAAGGAATGCTCAGCCACTTGAAGCCTCGCACTTGCACGCACACAAAGACCTGAATCTCTCATTCTGAGCTCATCAGAGAGGCAATAAATAATATCAAGATTGTAATATTTGACTGTCAGATTTTTTTTTAAACCCAAAGGGATCAACGTACGGGGAGGTGGCGTTAGGTGAATTCACAGAGGCTGATGTTTGATGGGCCCAGAGTCCCGGTACGCTATAATTTTTACGAATCTACCTCTTCTTTTCTTTGCCTGCCCACAGACAGCAGAAGCTTGCAGAGCGGGAGAAGCGATCTGCTGAACAGCAAAGGAAGAAGGTGGAGAAGGATGCACAAAGGTTATTGAGAAAGGAACAGAGTAAAATTGCTGTGAAACTTTCATAACCTTCAGTGTTTGGACTTGCAGCTGTAAGCAGGTGAACAAGATCCGGTTCTGCAATGTCGCCTGTTATCAGCTTGCTTTTGGTGAACAATGTTTTCCTAAGTAGTTACTACTGATGTGCATTGCACCACTGAGCATGTATTTTAACTCGAGTCTCCATTTGATGCTTGGGAATCTTCGTGGATTACTGGAAATCACTGGGATAAAATACAAGATTTTTACAGTGTATATATACATTTTTTTTTGTTCTCAGCCTCCACATCAGTGCATTGTCAAGTGCGATTCCTTACTGCACAAATTCCTGAACATCAAACCAGATTATTCTATGGAATGATTCAGATTCCCCAGCTATGTATAAGAATATGCGTAGCTGGATGGACATAATTTATCTGCTGCGTGTAAAAATATCTTTCATTTGGAATTCTCAGCATAAAAGTGTGTGTTTCACGGTAAAGGGGGAGTGTTGGTTGACTGGCTTGTGGCTTTACTAATTAGCCACCAGTTCTGTTTTGTTACTAGACACTGAAATATTACTAATGAAATCAATGAATTTCTTAAAATAGGTTTGTGCTGTATATTCTTACAATGTTTATGAGCAAAACAAATAAATGCCAGAGAATTACTACATTGGGCTTGTACATATTCAGTCTGTCAATTTGTCAGATTATAATAATTTAAGCATTAACGTGTCATTTTATTGTTTCTGTTGGATTTACCAAGAGTAGTTACCGATTCAGTTCAATAGAATTGTAATATCCAAGAGTGGCATTGCAGCGCAGAATACAAATTGCACAGGAATCCTAAAGCATACTGTAATGATACGAAGTTTAGTATATGTACCAGTCATACAATGTACACAAAAATACGTTGGATACTGCATTATAAAATTTGAAAGCATATGTAATATAGCCCATTGAGTATCATATTGTGCCCTTTGGACACCAACAGAATCAACTTGGATTTGTGTCTTGCTCTTAATCAAACAGCTTTATTTTCATACTGCATGCTTGTTTCAAGCACCTTAACATGGCTTGAGGTGTACTTGGAGTGAAATTGTGTATTTCAGTGAAAATTGTCTTATTCTGGTCAGTTTGTCAAATGAATTCTTTAAACCAGGGTTAAGTGTAAAGTAACTTTCTGCCATTCTCTGGAATAAGGTACATCACTGTTCAGGTTTAGAAAAGGGAACAATACAACTTATTTTTCTTTGCTATGTACTTGCACTATTGTCATAATTCATATCCACCTGTTTGAATTGTGCTGATTTAAATTAAAGGTGCTTACTGTACAGGTAACATTGAATGTAGTATTCTTAAGTAACTTGAAATCAACACGTAATTTTTTTCATATAATCTACCTGTGGGTTTTGGGGCTCATTTTCCAGTGTCAAAAATACACACTATGTGTGAAAATTAGTCACGTCTTTCTAAACTTTGCTGATAACATGGGCCAATAGAAAGGTTCGGCCACACCTTTCCTGCCACAATGACCCCTGCCGGGTACAAACTCGCCATAAATGTAGCCTGTGGCCCACGGGCCGCTTGCGCTGTTTACCCGGTGTCACTATGGGCGGAGCGGCTCCGGACGTGCATGCGTGGTGCAGTGCAAGCAGCAAATGGGCTATACTTGGTTGCCCTGCTGCTATGATTGTCTGAATGTCTGTGTCTTCTGTGTATATATGTATATATATATATATGTGTGTGTGTGTGTTATGAGGGTCTCTGTGTGAATGTGTGTATCTCTGTCACTCAGTGGGTATGTCTCTATCTCAGTGGGTGTGTCTCTGTCTCAGTGGGTGTGTCTCTGTCTCAGTGGGTGTGTCTCTCAGTGGGTATGTCTCTCAGTGGGTATGTCTCTGTCTCTCAGTGGATGTGTTCTGTCTTATTGGGTGTGTCTCAGTGGGTGTGTCTCTGTCTCTCAGTGGGTATGTCTCTGTCTCTCAGTGGATGTGTTCTGTCTCATTGGGTGTGTCTCAGTGGGTGTGTCTCTGTCTCAGTGGGTGTGTCTCATTGGGTGCGTCTCTGTCTCAATGGGTGTGGGTCTCTGTGTCTCTTGAGTGTCTCTGTGTTTGTGAATGTGTGTGTGTCTCTGTGAGTGCGTGCCTCGCTCTATGTCTAAGTGTGCGTGTCCATCTCTGGGTCTGTGAGTGTTCCTGCCTGTCTCCCTGGGTCTGTGTAATGCCGGCCCTGAGAGGCAGGAGGTAGGAGCTCCTGTAGCCTCCCTGGTGTTCCCCCGCAACCCCCCACCAAAAACAAAATAGCTACCCAGTTTTTAAAGAAGCAATTAATAATTGTTCTTGCGACAATTTAATGTTTGTTATTTCCTTAAGTTTAGTTTTTATCAATAAGGAAAAATGTAGCAGTAAAATGTATCGCAATAGCACCAATCAACCCCCACAATTCCCCCGCAAAATTTAGCAACCCCCACAATTTTCACAAGTGCTCCGCAGTTTTGGGCAGATATGTCAGCACTTTTCTATTGGCCCATCTTATAATGCACAGCTTCGCTAACATTTGATGATGTAAATGGTGTGAATTACATGTTAAGATTCTAATAGCACAATATAAATAGTTGAATGTATTTCACAATTGATAACTGCCAAAACATCTGTTATTGGACAATTCATGATCTTTCTCCTGTGCTAGGAGTTGTCCCGCATTGATTTGCTGTTCATTTTGTAGGTAGAATTTTCAGCAACACTTATCTCTGTACTTCCGTACTTATTCTCCAAATTGGTTATACTTTGTACAGACCAATTTGGAAATATCGTAAAAGCAATAAATGATCCATTTTATCAAACCCTAATAATAATTTATTCCAGGAATGACAACACATTGAACTACAATCTGGGCAATGACAAATGCTGTTACAATTGGAATTGTAAGAATGTAAGGTTTATCAGTTATGTGTCATTGTGATTATGCAACGAAGAAACTTTTTATTTTCTATTGAGCCGATTTCAACAGAGCAACTGAGGTAAGTCAGAAGCATAGCAGGTGATGATGGTCATATGTACTGCCAAGCACATTTCATTGAAGTTGACCATGAATATTCCATAGAATTTTACAGCATGGAAACCGGCCATTCAGACCAAAAAGTGATGGGAGAAATATATATATATATATAAATGTGTGTGTGTATGTATGTGTATATATATGTATATATAAATGTGTATGGAATAAGCAAGTAGAGGAGCGAGCTGACCTTTGAAGATTAAAATTGATATTGAATGCCTGATGACTGAATGGTTGCCAAGAAAATGGATGCTCCTCAAATCTATATTCGGTTGGAACTGGTAAAGTCGTCCCCACGTATGTTTGCCATATGCAGTTTGTTCACCTAGGGGATCGCAAGCAGAAAATAGATATTCTTTGATTACAATTTCTGTACAATGTATTTACTTTGATTTCTTTTAAAAAAACATACATTTAATTAAAATTCCTGAAACATTTATTTACACTTTTTGTTACTTATTAACTAAAAATTCATTAACTTATTTACATAAAGCCATATTCATGTAAAAAAATAGTAATTTAAGAATACACTATTGGTGTAAATGGTAATAAAACAATTTGTTGATGGAGGTGTGCTGGAGACAGTAGGTTTTTAGTTTTAATGTGTGGAGAAGGGACTGAGACTTCACTTTTTAGTAGATATAAGCGGGTTGCTGACAAATGGTTTTGAGATAAGCAAGTAAGACTATTACAATATTAAGGAAAAAAAACTTAAGATGACCACTAGAGGGTTTTTATACACAGTAGTGTAGGAGGAACATTTTCTACTGGAAACTGATCTATATTGCATGTTAGGCAGTGAGTTGCTGTGATTTCAGTATGAACAGGCAGTATCCTCAGGCTCTGTTGCTCTCACCTTTAACAACAACAAAATTATATTTATAAAGTGCCTATTACATCAGGAGGATGTCTCAAGGCACTGAACAGTGGGGGGATCAGGACCCGAGTGTCAGGCAGGTTTGGGAATGAGGGAGGGCAGAGAGGTAGGAGGGTGGCTGAAGGCACGGTTGGAAAGGAGGGTCTTGAGTTATGCCTTGAAGTAGGCAAGGGAGGGAGCAAGACGGGGATTATGGGATAGCGTTCAAAAGGGTGGGGGCAGACAGGCTGAAAGCCTGGTTGCTGATGGTAGGGCGTCAGACAGGAGACACGGAGCAGGCCGGTGCCTGCTGAATGGAGGGAACAGACAGGTTGACGGGATCAGCAGGTCAGTGAGGTAGGAGGGGACAAGGCTGTGGAGCACCTTGAAAGTGAGGACAAGGATTTTGAATTCTATCCTTTGAGTGATGGATAGCCAGTGGAGCCGGGCGAGGGGGGTGGGGGTGATGAGATCTCAGCCTGGTGCATGAGAGGACATAAGCTGCAGAGTTCTGGCTGATCTGCAGCTTGTGGAGGGAAGAGTTGGGGAGGCCGACGAGGAGGGAGTTTCCATAGTCGAGCCTTGAGATGATGATTGCATATAAGGGTTTCGTCGGCCTGAGGGGTGAGGCAGTGGAAGAGTCAGACAATGTTGTGGAGGTGGGGGAAGGCAGAACGGGTCATGGGATGGATATGGAGCAGAAAGGACAGTTAAGGGTTGAACAAGATGCCCAGGTTCCTGACTGGCTTGGTGAAGTGGAGTGTGCATCCACTGATGCTGTCAGTGCCTGAGGTGTGGAGGTGCTAGCGTGAACCAATCAGGAGGGCCTTGGTCTTGCTGACATTCAGCTGTATAAAGTTGGATTTCATCCAGGAATTGATGTCAGACAGTCTGTCAGGACGTCAGTTGTCCTGGAATTGAGGGTAGAGGCAGAGAGGTAGAGTTGGGTGTCATCCATGTACATGTGGAAGTTGACCCCTTGTCTGTGGATGATGTCACCAAGGAGGAGCATGTCGAGGTTGAAGAAGAGGCGACCAAGCATGGAGCCCTGAGGAACATTGCACAAGACTGTGCAAAGGCTGGAAGAGAAACTGTGGGTGGAGACAAATTGGAGATGGTTTGAGATAAGACCTGAACCATTCAAGGACAGAACCTTGAAGGTTGAGGTGAGAGGAGTGGTCCATGGTATCGAAGACAGCAGAGAGGTCAAGGAGGCAGAGGGAGCCCTGGTCACAGATGAACAGGATGTCGTTTGTGACCTTGACCAGAGCAAAGTGTGGGGGGAGATGGGGAGGGAGTGCCAGTTGGGAGGGTGGAGGCAGATGAACAGATCCCCTCGATTTTGGACTCGGAAATCCAGCATCTCCTCAGAGATGCTGAGTTTCAAGAGAGCATGGGCGAGACATGGGAGGGTGGATGGAGTTGCCGGTTGGTGGTGGAAAATAGGAACCTGGGGTTGTCCTTTGCCTCCGAGATTATCTTGGAGTAGAAGGACGATTTGGCGGAGGCAAGGGTGGAGTAGTACGTTTTGATGTGATTCAGCCAGATCTGCCGGTGGACCGTTAGATCAGATTTGAGCCAGGTGCGTTCGGCGGCCCACATCGGACCCTTGAGAGAGCGGAGGTGGCTGGTGTATCAGGGTGAGGATCGTGAGTAGGAGGTGAGGGGGGCAAGGGCATCAAGAGTGGTGGAGGAGAGTGAGTGAGGAAGATAAATCAGTGCAGGTGGTAGGCCAGAGTGGGAGGAGTTCAGATGACTCCAGGGCAGTGGAGAAGGAATGCGGGTATTTTTTTTCCAGGGGCGGTAGGAGATGGAGGTGGGTTTGGTGGCAGTGGGGAGAGGGATTGAGGAGTTAAAGGAGATGAAATGGTGACTGGAGATGGCTTTGTCTCTGATTGTGATATCCGAGACACTGAGGCCCCAGGTAATCACCAGGTCGAGTGGGTGGCCATTAACGTGGGTGTCAGAATGGATGTGGAGGGAAAGGTTGTGAGAGGAGAGAAGTCTGAGGAGATAGAGCAGGAAGGGGTGAAGTGAAGGTTGAAGTCACCGAGGATGAGGAGGCATTCAGAACAGAGGCAGAGGGAAGCTAGGAGGGTGGAGCCATCAGAGATGAAGGTGGAGGAGGTTTTGGGTTAAATGAGGAGAATTTTCAGGGGAAAGATTGGAGGGATGGTGGTGTAAGGTGCTCAAATCAGGGGAATGAGCCAGAGTAGTAGGGGATAGAGCAAGTGAGGTCCTGGAAGGCCACACTACTGCCACTGTGGTTGGGACTTGGGGTATGATGGGAGGTATAGCTGGGTAGTGTGGCCTCAGTGAGAGGGAAGATATCAGTCAGGGCCATGATGTCAATATTTTGATCAATGATGAGGTCATTGATGGTCAGAGCCTTGTTGCATAGGGAGCCGGCATTTTGTAGGCCGGTGCGTGAAGAAATGTGTGAAATTGTTGGGAGAAGACGGTATCCGTATAAAATGTATGAAAATGGTATCAATATAAAATGTATGTTAGGGTTATAATAAAACAGATTTTTCTCTTCTATGTTAATCCATATGTTTAGTTGGTGATTGTGGAGAATCAGCAGGATGTTGAAGGAAGTACCAATACAGTACTCTCAGATGGTGCATGTTGGGGGTTGTCAGCAATGAATCAGGACAATAGTCGAGACAGAATCTCAAGAGAGGCAATTAGAAGAAATAGAGAAACACTAGCTGGGGTAACAGATGGATGTGTGCTCAAAATGTAGATACGTTGGCAAAGGAGGGAAAACGGAAGAAAACGAGGTAACTTTGGTCCAGGATACATGTCATAGTCGGGAGGTTGTTCATCATAACTAGACCAATTAGTATGAGTTAATGGGTAAGAAAGAAAAAAGCAAGCTGGTAGAGTAGAGGTTAGGAGACGGTCCCCTCAAAAAACCTCTTGATCCCTCCAACCTCACAAATTACTGATCCATTTCCAACTTGCCCTTTTTGGCCAAAGCTCTGGAACGTGTTGTCACTAACCAGCTTTACTTTCACCTCTCCCTCCACTCCATCCTCGAGCCTCTCCAGTCTGGTTTCCACCCTACCCATAGCATAGACAGCATTTGTCAAGGTCACAAACAACCTCCTCTCTCTCTGATCAGCGCTCCCTCTGCCTCCTCGACCAAACTATTCTCATTCACTGCCTCTCCTCCTTCATCCACCTCAGTGGGACTGCACTAGCCTGGCTTGAGTCCTACCTAACAAACTGTCTTCCTTTTATCTCCTCAAACTGCTTCTCCTCTGGTCCACGCCCAGTCACCTGAGGGGAACCCAGGGCTCCATCCTTCGCTTCCTCCTCTTCCTCATCTATATGCTCCCTCTTGATGATGTTATCCGCAGACATGGGGTAAACTTCCACATGTACGCAGATGATACACAAATCTATTTGTCCTCCAACTCCAGGTTTGCCAATGTTCTCTCTGGTTCTCTAATGGACATCAGGGCCTGGATGTGCAAAACCTTTCTACAAAAATATTCAATTCACTTTACAGTATATTTTGTGAAGCGTCTAGAAGACGTGAAAAGCGCTACATCAACCGTAAGGATTATTATTATTATTACAACTCAATGTTGACAAGACGAAAGTCATACTCATTGGCTCCAGTCAACATCTTCTATCCTGCAGCTTTGACCTCCTCAACCTCCCTAGGCTCTCCTTCAGACTTACCGAACCAATGCGCAACCTAGGCGTCAGGTTTGACCCACAGCTGTCCTTCCCCACATCTGGTCCCTGACCAGGATCACCTTCCTCCGCCTCCGACCGTACCTTATCCCAGGCACACCCGAAACACTCGTCCATGCTTCGTCATCTTCCAACTTGACTTTTCAAGTGCCCTCTTTGCCAGTCTCCCCAGTTCCACCATACACAGGATCCAGCTGATCTAAAACTCCACCGCCCACATACTTACTCACCCATACTAAATTCCGTACCTCCATCACACCAGTTCTAGCCAGGCTGCACTGGCTCTCTATTGCCGAACAGATCAATTTCAAGATCATCTCCTTTTCAAATCCCTTCATGCCCTGGCACCTTCTTACCTCTCCGGCCTGCTTACCTCCCAACCCGCTGCCTCCGCTCAACTCGCTTCGGCCTTCTGCATGTCCCCCGTGCCACCCATTCCACCATTGGTGGCAGTGCTTTCAGCCACTATGCCCTGAAGCTCTGCAATACTTCCTCTATCCCTCCGCCTTGCCCCTTCCTTCCCTATCTTCAGGTCGCGTCTGAAGACCTTCGTATTCGACTGCACCTACGGTCACTCCCACCAGCTTAGCGTTGTGCTCCACCACTGTCGAGCACTCTGGGACGCTACCCTGCGTTAGGGGGCGCTATATAAATGCAAGCTGTATTTACAATATTATTAAGGAAAAAATAAGTTTTATGACCACTAGAGGGCTTTCATATAAAGTGGTGTTGGAAAGGAGGAACATTTTCTACTTCAAACTCTGATCTATATTGCATGTTAGTGAGTGTGTTGCTGTGCCTCTGTGAAGTCTTCCAAGATGTGATTTGAGGCTGAAGAGTCTTAACCCCAAAATCCTCTTACAATGCTTTCTACCTATGAATGCCATACAGCACTTGAAACTTCAGTGTGCCATTAAATTCTTTTAATAATAGTATCTGTTTTGTTCTATAGTAGATTACATTCTAACCTGATATAATGGTTGAGGGTTCATAAAATGACAAACCCGTCTTTTAACATAATTGCCGATCAGTGCTTGTGCTCATCATAGTCTCACATGATTGGTAGTGACATTGTGCTTGTGTGAAGAAACCTGGCTGCGTTCCAACATAGCTGACTCCCGAGTCATCAGGTCACAGCCAATGTTGCTTCCTGCCAAAGCTAGCCATGGGTCTGCAGGCCACCTGATTTATAAGTGAGCACTTTGGGGCACGTCTGTAATATGGTACAGCACTATAATAAATCTGTACTTTTATACACTAATAATTTCATTCAGTTTTATGTGAAAACATGATACTTGGGAGTCCTGTAGCTCAGTGGTTAGAGCACTCGCTTTGCAAGCGAGAGATCTGAGTTCAATTCCAGGCAGGGCGAAACCTTGGGCAAGTTTCCTTACTCCACACAGAGCCTAATAATAATCCCTCCAAAACCAAAAACAATAATAAATTGGTCATTTTCAATCTACGACTGTTTGTGGGACACTGCTGTGCGCAATTGGCTGCCGCGTTCGCCCACAAATATACAGTCAATTCATTTTCCAGTATGTTCTGTGAAGCGCTTTGGGACATCCTCCTGACGTGAAAAGCCCTATATCAAATGCAAGGATTATTAAGGATTATTATTACTTTAACATCAATTTGACTAACTTTTCACGATCTAGCCAGGATTGGTTTCCAAAATTGTTTGAAACAAACATTGATGAGTGTAACCAGTAGCAAGTAACTAGAGACATGTTTGTGAAAAGGGCATTTTTTATTTCTAATTCAGAAAGATCATAAGGATTGTATAGTGCTGTTTTCCAGTTGCGTGTGGAATACATAAATTACCCATTTCTCTAAATGCTGAGTTTGGCACTAATGTGTATTGATCTGTACAGTTTGTGTATGCCTTAACATGATTTTAATACTGGAATGCTAAGCTAAAAAAAAATTGAAGTTGGAAAATAAGTGACCTGAGTCCAAGAAACTTTTGGCATGCTTTAATTTAATAATAAATTTATAGTCTTTAATTTAGAAACATCTGAAGTACAGTAAAGAAAAGTGACTGAAAGTAAACAATTATTCAGCAATATTGCACGTGGCTCATACACAGCACAAACATACAAATCATAAAAATGCAAATTCTGCCAGAAGCAAACACACACACACGGAAGCAACTTGTTCACTATTTTAAAACATCTCCATGTATATTACCTAGTAACACTTCTACAGGTCACTGTGACATTACGTTCCAAGTAATCAATGCTGGCGCAAAAACGACCGTAACTGTAACAGAAGTGCCAGGATTCTGGTATTACTAAAGAAACCACAGGCGAAAAGCTAAGAAGCATTGGTTGCAATCAGTTTTTAACATCTATGTAAAAAACAGCATAACCATTCAACTGCACATTCTCACAAGCGACAACATGAGACACATGTGAATCATAAAATCTTATTAAAGCAGACTGGAGCCAGCTGCCTCAGAAGGTTCAATGTTCAGTATCTTCTGTTCAAAAGCCTTGATGGCAGGCTTTACTCTGGAATTAACCTGTGCTTAGATGTACTTTAGAGTCGTGACAGTATAGTTTTAAATATTCTCGGTCCCTTACACTTTGTGTTTTACATTTAACTACCATTATCATGACATTTAAAAATAAGCAAACACAAAGCCTATTTATTGTTAAGGCTTGTTTGTGGGTTCAGTTTGGCCACTAAGTTTCTTCTTTTCTCATTCGCGAAGCATCCATATAATAAAGTATCCTTTCAAAATAGCCTGTGATCTCTAAAATGCACATCTTAAATAAAGGAATATATTTATAATTTATCAACAGTGCAAATTAAACCTACTGATGTGATGAAATGGTATCTAGCCACATGTTAAAAGGAGGTTTGATCAGCCAATTCCAGTAATTTCAAGTGTACTGAATTAACATGAAGTTTAAGTGCAGTTAGTGGGATTCTGTGCATTACTGGGACGGCGGAACAATGTACGAGGTGAATGACGCAGCGAGTGCAGAGCCACCAAACAGCATCCACGCATCAGAGTGCCGATGTTGTACAGTGGGTCCATTCCACCCCTGTGTGTGGCAAGTACCCAGGCCAGAGTTGGAACTACTGGCACAGCTACTGCCAACAGATCGATGATAAAATGGTTGCTCCAATAGCTTCTCTCACACACTGCAGACGGCTGCTCTAAAAGGTGCGCTCGAGAGACACTGCGCTCATTTCCAGCTAGTTCAAATGCAAAATTAAGATCTATCACATTGCTTATTCTAGGTGAAAGCTCGGTTTGTTCGCTGTAATTACAGGTCTCTGGGCTGTTAAGGAGATTAACAGATTCTGATTTAGACACTAAAATTCCAATATTGGGATTGTTTGGTGTTGAATCCACCAAAGCATTGGTAATCATAGTATCCAACTTGGGTGCACATGCTGCTTGACCAGCATCTGTCATCCAGGTTGAAGATATGGGACTGATCGGGCTGCTGTCCTGTGATTTCAGTAAGTGTAGAATGAGCTTCTGTACATCAGGTCCATAGGGCACTAAATCAGTCTGGATGGCCTGCTCCCTGACCAGTCGATTGTCATCAGTCACAAAGAGCATACCACTTTGAGCAGAAATGTCAAATGTGGCACTGTTAGCAAGCTTGACTGGCATTTCATTAGCTTGCACCCAGGAGACACCTCCAGAGACACCTTCAATGGCTGTCGACTTCAAAATTTGGTCAAAGAGATCTGCTCTGCTTGCCATGTCATCATTGGCAAGCAGACCACTATCAGCCATTGCTTCAACCGCTTGATCTTCCAAGCCTGTGCCTTCGGTCATTTTTGTGTAAGTTGTGCTACGTGCTAAAGCCTTCACTGGTGAAGTGCACATATAGTCCACAGCTTGGTCATCCCTTAGAGCCCCATTCTGAGCCATCTCCATGCTCTGCAGCAAAGACTCAAGCTTTTTGTTTTGGATATTAATATCAATAAAATATTTCTGCACTCCTTTATCTTTCTCCACCAGACTGTTCTTCATGGTATCAATCACCTGCCGCAGTTGTTTGATCTCCTTCCGAGCTTCCTTTAGTGCCAGCTGGGCTTCAACTCGATGACATTCCTCTTCAATCCAGTCTTCTCGCATGCGCGCAAGCTGGGACTTGAGATCAACAACCTCAGATTCCCTGGTAAAACAAATGCTACAATGTACATAAAGGAAGGTATGAAAAGTGGTTACTGTTTTTACAGAACAAACTGGACTAACCCAGAAACACATTGACAAACTAAATTCCAAATTACAACCGGTTTTAAACTCGGGGAAATGGCATATGGTCATCAGCCAATTTTACAGACAGGGCAAGTGCAATCCTGGCAACTTGCTACAAGAAGCCTGAAATGAAAATGCATATTTGCAAGGTTCGTGTCAGTAGAAATATAAAGAATAAGTTCCCTTCATCAAAACCCTACTGACTTTAGTAAATGCATTGTACGGAAAATAAAACCAGGAAATTTCTTGTGACGCAATATTAAAAACCAACCAGATTTGTGCGGGATAAAAAGCTACAGCAAAGATAAGAAAACTTTATGGAAAAACAAAATTCTAATCAGACAGAGGTTGTTCCAACACATTTTCTACATAACCTTACTCACTGGCACAATACTATTTCCTGCAAAACTTTGAGGCACTAAAACAGACTTTAAAAGTAAGTGTATTGTTTGAAGTGGCACTTGTACACACCATAATCTTTAGTGTACAAAGAAAGGAAGTACAACATTTACTGGAGCATATTTTATACAGGAACCACTTTGACCCAACCTACACACATAGAAATTACAAAGATCTTGTTGAGCAAATTATCAATGCAAGATTCTTCTCATGAGTTGAACGATATTCTTTTTTGTGGGTGAGCCTGGTATCTGACACGTGGAAAACCATCACGGAAGAGTATCCAAACTTGACTAAGAGATCCATGTATGCCACCTATACATCGAAATATTTCAGGATATTTCATCCTTGTCTAGTGTTTCTCTTGTCATGTTCACTTGCGATTAATTTTGGTGATATATAATTTATCAACCTTTTAGCTAGGTCTTCAAAAGCTAAACCCCAGAATTGTGTGTAGAACTCTACACAATTTCTAACTGGATTCCTTAATAAGAAAAGCAGAAGTTCGTCATACCGAGCTCCAAGAACTCCACTCTGAAGCAATCTATTTTCAAAGCGACTTCCCATGGATTCTCGGGACATACTTTCAGATCATAAAGGAGTCCCCACTCTTATCCTTATTCAGGAATCCCATTAGAATTAGCCATACATTAGATCCAAATACAGGGTAACCCCACTATCATGTGATTGTCAGGGTCCAATATCTCAGTTAAAAAAGAGCAAGCATATTAAAAAAAATTACTTTACTAATTATGTACCATTCTATATACTGTACTAAAATTCTTTACAATTGTTCTTTTACCCACTTCTATCGATCAATGTGGTAACTACTCTCTTTTGATCAGCCAGGTGTCTGACACATGTGGAAACACATCATCATGCTTAAGATCATCCAAACCAGCCTAAGAATTCCACATTTGCATGCCAAATATACATGGAAATTTCCCTACTAGTAACTAGTTATCAGCAGGGAAAAAAACAGCTGATCACATTTCAATTGTGAACAGAAGGCACTTATGTCCAAAGCAGTAGAAACGAGGGCATGACTGCACACTTAAAATACATTGCTTTTATGGAGCATTCTTGCCACCTACTTACTCAATGCAGAGTTAATGCAGGTGACCCAATGATGCAATGTCTCAGTACCCAGATCCGTAGCCCATGTCAATTTTCAAATTATTTCATTTTTAATACAACAATCCTCAGATACATTAGTCAATTCATGACTAGATTGCTGTGTCATTGTGTTGTAATCAGTGTGAAGGTCATGTAGATTCAAGAGCATAGCTCTCAATAATAATGCCCTACAAATCTCGAGTTATGTTGCCAAGCTGATTCCCAGTGGAACTGCGCTGAATACATCACTACCACAAGCAGGACTGCAATCTACAAAGAGTGTGCAGTTAATAAACCAACTCAACTCATAACTTGCATATCAAATTCGGAACGCAGAATTTCCAAGTTTGTATATGAAAACATTTTCATGATTTATTTAATTACAAAAACCATCAGAAACAAACCGGAAGATAAAACAAAGAGGTGTACATTAGCAGAGATGAAAAGGGAAATGGAATATGACTGATTATTGATTATTCACTGATGGGTCTCCAGTCCATGTGAAACCACTGTCCCCACAGCTAAACAAACACAAGGTTCTATCCCGAAGGCATTTGACTACAAAGCAAAAGCAAAGCAAATCCTAAACTTTTATAGATTAAGAAGATTGAAACATTGAAAATGGTTCGGAGAAGAGCAATGATTCTAGGACTTGTCCAAATGCTTGTAGAGCTGAGTGCATCGGAAAAGATGATAGAGGGTGCATATGGTGACGAGAGATAGATAGATGTAAGTCAGCTTGGATTTGGACTGCAAGAGGAAAGCTAGAGAGTGTAGGTCTAAACTTAAAACACTCTGAGATACAACTCTAGTTTAAAAGGAATGTATTGTTTCGGCAGTGTTGGGGAATAGATTCATAACAAAGCTGTTGATGGTAGGAGACAATATTGGAAATATAGGAGCACTGTAGCTACTACTGAGATGAATCAATAAGACATATGACAGAATAATTTCTGTATCGCTGGCCTCAGAAGGAGAATTCTGACCTTACGTGTGTTTCATGGGATTTCTGTTTCATGGGAGTAATGTTCCTAGGTAAACTATACAGTTTTCGGGGGGCGTGGGGTGGGGGGAAGGAGGGACACATTTAAAAACAATTGGTAACCTTCTTTCATATCTCTTAACCTTCAGACATGGGACAGTGGCTGAAATTACTCATCTGTTCTGGTTAAATGTCTTTCTTTTCAAGAGATTGGGGATGAAGGTACTCCTTCTACTGGTCCCTTGATAATGCCACACGCAGTAAATAAAAAAAAAGTGGCCCACACATTTGTTCCACATTTTGAAATAATGAAGACCAAGAGTTGTGTTTGTGGGGAAGGTGGGGGAGGGTGTTTTTAAAAAGCTGTGGGATAATTGGATCGATAAAATCATCTTTAAACAGATCAACCATAAAGAGACAATAATGCTACCAAGGTAACCGAAACCTCAAGTTTACTGAACCTTCAATCTCAAGCAAAAGCTTTGAATTGGAAATGAATTTAAAGGTAGCACGTGATGATGTCCTGCCTGATGTGGATGGGCTCAGTGACTCTGGTGACCAACTTGAAGATCACAATGGGTCAGGAACTATAATGTTACTTCCAATCTCCGTGCTTCCTCTCACCTCGAGACGTAAACAAAACAACTGATAGACCACTTGAATTCCGTGGCACCTGCTGTATATATTTTGCCTGACCAACACCTGCACTAAATGGCTGATCTGCTCACCAGAGGATTTCATTCAGGAAAAGGGATGCAATTTGGGGATGAAGAATTAAGGAGTACACTTCCAGGTTGAATGTAAATGACTTACTTTTAGGTTGAAATTCACTTGAAACTAATATTAGATTCAAAATAATTACCACCTCTCTTGAAGATTGTTTTCTGACTCCTTTAGTTTTGTCCTCAGGTGTCTAATGGTGACCTCCTTTTGCTGCAGTGGGGTCAAGTACTGCTCCGGGTTTGGAGGCTTAATGCCATGATTATCACTGCAAGAGGTGTATTTACCAGCTCGCCTGGAAAATGCAGATAATGACAGTAAAAGGAAAGAAGAGTGAGTTGCTAAAGCCAGTGTTAAACGCAACAGCTGAAGGTTCCAAAGAGGGAGTCTTACCGAAGCCTAAAAAATGAAGCATATGCAAAGTTACATCTGAACTACATCAACATGATTCTGGTCATTTATTTTCCAATATTTAAAAGTGAGTGCCTTTGACACCAAGTGTCACTGAATGTCGTTTGTCAGTTGAATTAACACTAAATCAAGTCAGAAAACTTCAGTTATTTGGGTTGTATTTTTTTTATTTGGCAATTGCTTTGAGGATATCTTCAGACACCTTTGGGGAGACAAAAAAGATGTCAAATGCAGGCAAGACTCCCTATTTAGTGTTTTGTTTACCCAGAACTATTCACATATCTTAAAACATTTCTTTTCATCATTTTTTCCTGAAATGGACAGTGAAAAGAGAAAGGAGAGAGAGAAAAATGGACACGAAGAAGTCTATAATAGCATAGCAGCCTTTACAAAATCCAGCAACTCCGTATGCACTATACTACTTTATAACGGTTTCATCCTCTTACGCACACCAGTAAAAAAGTGATGGAAAACGCCCACATTTTTTGGTTTTGTATTTAAGCAATTTTCAAACACTGATCAGAAAATGACAATTCATAAATATCATCGTATGTGATTTATCTGGAAGCCTTCTTACTAGTTTTTAAAACCTTTCTTCACCTTGATTTGCTCATTGCCTCTTGCACGTAAATGTTAACAATAGCTTGCCTCTTGGTCTAAATGAAACGTATTAAACCATACGTTACAAAATATTATAAACCTAAGCATTAAATGGTGCCTTGAGCAACAAACGTTGATAAAGTCGTTGATTCAATGATGCTAGTACAGCACTGGCTATCTACATCTTGAACTATTTTTAAATAGCAACATTCCCTTTCTGCTTGCAGGCCATGTACTCCCAGTCCAATGGGAATGCTGCTTTCGATCCAGCTGCAAGGAATGAGTGACAATGACCTGGAAATAATTGTTCTTCAGTTGTGGAGTGCCAAGCAGGGAGCTCAACATCTCCCCATTCAGACAATGTAGGGGTCAGGGAGTTTAGCTCGTGAAAGAGAGAAGGGAAATGCAGCAGCAGAAATGTAAGCTTACAATCGCTTATTACTCAATAGTGCATTTATTGGTACTTCAAGACACCATGCCACAAAATGCTGACTCTTAGCCAGCTATGTCCTCTGGCTTTCCTTAATTTTTTGCATTTCTATAGTTAAGGTATAGCCTGATCACTGTACTGAACCTCAGTGTTTAGTTACGAGTATGGAGAGGGAAGGAGTTGATTAAAAAGACTTTTTAAACTTCTCCCAGCTATTTTTTGCTTATGGCGCCAAGTGCAAGTTTTACTCACCTTTCAGACAAAATAGAGTTGACTAATTCAAAAGTTATTTGCTCTAGCCTAACACTCCAAAACTCAAAAATGATTCGAGAGATCAGAAGTTGCCTCAGCATTAGAGAACTGGTGGATAGCAATTCCAGCTGGAATGAGATTTACTCTATTAACGTAGAATGCTATGAGTGTGGCACATTGTTGAATTCAGTTTTAACATTTGAAGCTCATTTTCTGTAATGTTTAAAAAAAACTTACAGAAACCGCTTCAAAATTAAAGAGCGTATTTGAAATTCTTGACTCTCTGAAATGCCACGTTAATAGAGTAAATATAGCCTTAGCTGAAATTTCTACCCATGGATTCCTAAATCATTGCAGACTTCACTGAAGTTCTCTACTTGTCGAATCTGGCTCATGTGTATCTTCTATGATTCTGTAAGAATGGGGAAGTGGTACTGATTGGATAACTCTTCCCAAGAGCAGGCACAGGCACGATGGGCTGAATGGCCTCCTTTTGTGCTGTAATATTGAATGATTCTCTTGTTCAAGTCCATCTTGCTAGGATAACAGACTATTAGCTTGCTCTTCTGGTTGACTAGTTCATGGCAGCTCTTTCTTTTTAATCCCATTTTCTTGACTTTTTCCCATAGCCCTGATACCCTTACTTCCCAAGTACCCACCTAAGTCCCTCTTAAACATCTGAATCAATTTGGCATTTATACCCTCCCAGGACAAGGCATTCCACGTTCTCACAATGCTTTGTGAGAGAAATGTTTCCATAGTCACCTTTAATCGTCTGAGCTCTAATATTAAGATTCGATTTTTAAGATTGCTTGAAGCTTGATGCTCACGGGAAATGTATCTATGTCAAAATTCCCAAAATAGGATAGTTTTAAAATAAAAAAAAGCATATTCCCATTTGGACTTAATTTAGTTGTGAGATCAGAAGTACTTGCCGCCAGACATAACTTCTCATGGGATTGCGGCAAAGTTCTTATCTCCTGATCATCCTCCTCCTGAATCCTCCCTGAACAACTCGGAGATATCAACATCAAGTAAGTATTAGGGGTGATATTTATCACCAGCAAAAGTGTCAGAGATTGCAAACCAATTTATTATGAAATTCTTATTTTTCAAGAGTCAAAGTATGTTATACATTTAAGTACACATGAATCATTTCCATCCCCAATGAGTTTTGGCATGTCTGATAGCTTTAAACAACCCCTCTTTTGCTTTCTCTCTCTCTCTGTCTGTCTCCCACCCCCCATATATAGTTTTCCTGGCCACTGGGAAGAAAAACTAAACACTGGCAACAAACAATTACAACCATGAATGTATTTATTATGTAGAAAATCTTGAGTTTTGAGTAAGTAAATGATGTACAATGAATGTACATTAAAAACAAATTAAACCACATTCAACTACAAATGAGTCAAAGCACGGGGTGGGGGTAGGTTATAAGTTCAACTGAGTGCCCGTGGGACAGATGTGCTAGGCTGGCTATCACATCTGTTCTAGCTAACTCATCAGGGATTTACTGAGACAGCTGGGTTAGGCGCACACTACAGCAACAAAAGCCATAAAGACACTCACACACACTACTCCCCATATGTGTCAAAGCAGCCCATTCAAGATTCCCATCTGTTGCAACATCCAATGCATCTATCCCCCAGCTCCTTGTCTCTGATGATCCTTCCCTGCCCTCCCACGCTTTCCTCAGCTCTCTCCACTTCTCGTGTTGTGATCCCATCCAACCTTTGAACGCTCACTACAGCTCTCTTTTTAAAAACACAATCTCCTTTCAGGGTTAGAGGAGTGGAGTTCAGGCCTTTCAGCTGGGCAGCACCTTGAGTTAAAACACCAAAAGATCCTTTCTACCAAGTCTCAAAAGTATAAAATTCCTCAGTAATGGCCTCAGGATTGTAAGTTCTAATTCTAAGATGGTGTTGTCTTGGTTATAAGCATAATATGGAGAGTAGAGACACTATCTGGTGTATTACTATCACTATCCATTCAAACTGGAACTTCACAAGTGCTCCTCACTCAAAGAATGTCAGGACTGAGAATATCCAGAGACCCTGCTCTGTGTCTCCTGGGTCCAGTCCCAGAAATACATGTTGACAAATCTAAGGGAAAACTGACACAGGCAGCATCAGTAGCTGCTGGAAAGATGTATATTGCAACTGTGGAAATATGTGGCTTCACCATCGCTAGGATACATCCCAGTCAGAAAACATAATCTGCACACTAAAAATGTAAACACAGAAATTTCAAGAGATTTGATCCCCATTTCTAGATAGGTACACGTCCCCCCACAGCCAATTAACTTGCCCTCTCAGCTCATGAGGTTGCCACCGCAAGTATTCACATCTCAGAATGTCCCTTCTTCATTGAGTGTATGTATGCAAGGAAGAAATTAATTGTTGTCGTTGTACATAGTCAACTATTTTATACTAAGCTTATTTATCCTTGTTCTTTTGTGCATTCATTTTAATTTGCCATTAAGCTTTCTGTTTGGTTCTACGCTTTCTATTTTCTAATTTACTGTATTTTTTTTTAAAGGCACAGATTTGATTGATGGTGTTGAGTTAGTTGGGGTTACAGGTAACAGCTGGAGTTGCTGTAATTGGCCTTAACAACCCATGGACAAAGGAAGGGAGACTCGGAGTTTCAGACCCAGACCTAGAGTTTCTGGCAATGATCACTATCTTGTGATCCCTATTGGATGGTCTGTTGGGGAAAAATTCCACCTGAGTTTAGATTTACTCTGTATATGTGGCATTTCAGAGTGTCCAGGAATTGTTTTTCTATAAGTGTTAAAAGAAATTCCAGAAAACTGGCTTCAAAATTAAGGCTGCACTTGTCACAAATTTGGTCAAATCCTAGTTACTCAAATCCTGTATAGAGTAAATCTCGACCCAGGTGTAATTTTACCCCGTACGTATTGATATCAGTGGAGGAATAGGTCGAGCTTTTGAAACCTTTGAAGTTCAATTTTTACCAGGTAGAGTTGGTGAGGCCAGGACTCTGGATTCACTTAAAAAACAGCCTGATGACGGAGGAGGGCAGTGAAAGTATCCTGGAAGGATGAGGTCAGATGGGCTGAAGGGCCTTCTTCAAATGCCCACTAGAGGGTGTCAAGTTATAACTATATACAGTTGCAAGTCAAAGCCTTCAGAAGAGAAGAATTTTTAAATTATTTTCCAGGGTGTTGTTTTTCTAATCCAGTTTTGTTGGGTGTTAAGCGTGTTGATTATGATTCTCAAGTCAATGGAATAGGTGATATTACTTACAAATCTGACTGGAGGTGCAAGTGGTTTGTGTGTATTTGGTGGCACAACCGAGAGCAGCGGGCGATAACTAACATTTCCTACATTTCACCCTGGTGCTGAGTGGAAGTATAGTCTTAGAAAAAAAAGTACTAGGATACATTAGGGAGTTTCCACAGCAGAAGTACCAGTGCTTTCTCCATCAACTGTTGGCAGTACCTACTGGGGAGCTAATCTAGCACAGGCATAGTGCCTCCTAATGTCCTGAAATTTCCAAACATTTAACACCAGATATGCATTGGATTAGGTAACCCTTCATCTTTTTTTTAAAAAGATGGGCAGGGTTTCAAACAA